GGTTTTTTTAAATTTCTCAACCTCATTTGCAATTTTAATTCTGTCCTCATATTTCCATGGATGCCATAAGCTTGTGCTATCAGTTGCAAATGTCCCCTTCAGGTCTGTGCAGTTGTCTTTTGACACATTTGCAAAGGACGAGAAATATTTTGCACTGTTAGATAGTTCACCACCTAACATGGCCAACATTTTCATGTCATTAGGTAACTCGGCACATTTGAATGTAACATGAAGGCCCTCAATTTCAAAGACTTTGTTTTCTATCTCACAAATTTCTTTGCACAAGAACTGACAATACTTACGCACAACAAGTGATGTTTCCTCACAATTTCCACCAAAAATAATAAAGTTGTCATTGCTCGATGCAACTCGTTTACCTACATTCATGAAACTTAACAAAAAAGAACAAGCTGACTCATTCTTTCCGAATGGGCAACCATCCCCACCCACAGCAATTAAAAAAGTGCCTTCAGTTTTGCCAAACCACAGAAGGGCTTCCTTTCTATCTTTTCTGAGGTAGAATTTTGCCAGGCGTGGCAAGTACTCAACTAACTTTCGAAAACAACCTTGAGTAAGTTCATCTCCGATTGCCCCTGGAAACTCTTCATCGAACCTGTACACATTTCCAATCTCAATTTCGTTTATTTCTTTCACAAGCTTGTCATATGGCAATAATTTTGGAATTGGGCACTTTGGCATAACACTTATAGCTGATCTTCCCTTTGTAGTTTCATTTGACTTCATTGATAATGAAATTCGAACAGATTTATATTTTCGCTTTCCCATTACACCACTACTATAGAAAACTGCAATGCTTCTTTTTGCATTTTCTGCAGAGCTTTCAAAAGCTTTCACGTTTTTTTTAAACATAGCTGAGGCTACTTTCTCTTTTAATGTTTTCTGACCCAGAACATAATCTTTCATTTTATCTACTTTACATCGTTTAGCTAGTGTGTCAAACATCCCATCAAAGGCTGGACCTGGGTTATTTTTAGATCCGCCATGGATTGCAGAAGCATGTGTCAGTGTTTCATGTCGTCTTTTCGCAGCTGTTCTTGGTGGCATATTTGATTTCCCATCCACCAAAATAGTTGGGGGTCTTGTTCGTGCACTGGTATCAGTGTTCCCCAATTGTAACTGCAAAGGCAAAAAATTATTATTTATTATTTTTTCAGCACCTCAAAGATAAAGGGGGTAATGAATATTATCCATCACCCTTAAAAAAATGGTTGCTGAAAAAATATTTTGGGGGTTGCTACTCACCTGATTATTTGGAGTGCCGTTAGTTATATCTGCCAATGCTATCCTTGAATCACTGACCTTTGATAAAAGAAGAAAAACTCAATCAATACATTAAAAAAGTGTCAGGTTTAATATTTCTCATCTGCAGGAAATGACAAATTAGAAATTGTTTATCAATAACCACATGTATGTTCACAGTGTCACTTATGACAGTACTGTAAGTTTAATCTTACTAATTTCCGCTAACCTTTGTTTCTAGTCTGTCAATTTTCCTCTTATTTCTATACAGCTCTGCTTTTAACACTCTACATTCCTCCACTGCCTTTTGCCTTGCTTCCTTTCTCTTCTTCATAAAATCAGCAACACTGAAACGGGTGTTTTTGGTGTGTGGCATAACGTGACCAAGTCACCTAAAGAAACAGACAAACATTGCCATGTGTCGAGCTCAAGCATTTTGATCCAGGCAAAAATTCAGCAAAACAAAAAACATAGGATTCTTACTTACATCTCAAAGATGTTATTTGTCCATTTCAAATGCTGTTACTTGGAGTAGTTTTAAATTCTATCCGAGCCAAAACCTTGATAAATTCCCTTTATGACAGCTCGTTCGTCGAAGTCTATTCGCATTGAGTTTACTTACGATGTAAATTCGAGCAAAAACATGGCATATTTGGTATCTACTGAAAGCTCAGAAAAAACGCTGCCAAGATTTCTGCTGAATGAAGCACAAAAATTTTCCCAGAAGGCACGAGGACCCGTTAAATATATGCAAAGTAATTCGTCCCCAGTCTCTTATCAAAAACATACTTTTCCCGCGCCATTTTTAAAAACATAAACTTGCAGCTTTTTCGCGCGTCTGGGCCCGGCGTGTACGTATATGTATTATATCAAAATAATTGTGAACTTTCAAAAAACTGAAGCAAATCTGTACAGTCTGCATCTTTATGTTAATATACCCCAGACGGGTATTGATCTCAACACCTACCCAAAAAATTGGACAAATAACTGGATGATTGCTTATGGTGTTTTCGGAAAAGTGTCATCGATTGATCCCCAAAAGAAGTACGATTATCATACAGCATTTGATATTAAGCCGACTGAAGTTGTTTACAATGTTGATCTGGATATGAACAGAAAGAAAATACTCAACATAGCTCCAGATAAAACGAAGAATAATTCGGCTGCTACTGTAAAGATGGTCAAAGATTTGGAAACAAAATTGAGCCCTCATACAACAAATAATACATATAGGGAAATATTTGAGGAATTTTATGATTTTAGTGATGCTAGTAAATATTAAATAGTACACGGAATATCAGGTATCATGGTTTCAGGCATCCTACCTAATATTTATTTTCCTAGAATGAGTATTGCCAATGTTTGGGAGGGCGCATTGAGAATAACTAATACCACATTAAGTTTGGAATTATTCAGTAAAAGGAGCTTTACTCTTTATGTCGTTATGCGACTATGGATGAATAGATCATTTAGTATAAAAACGTTGATGGATAATGGAGCTCATGAAAAACCAGATTTGATTTATGACAAAACAACAAAGAAATTAAAACTGCAAACTAATGGTCTGAGAGTTGGATCAACTAACGAAACTGCTATCACAATACCAAACAGTTTCGATGATAAACGGGTTGTGTTTTGGTTAACTAAGAAAGGGACGGGGGGTGATCTGACAGTAAAAACTTCAGTCTCAAATTATAGTGGAACACTAACACTAAGTTCAGCTTTAGCATCTCAAAGTACCTATACATTCAGAATATTCTCAGATCATGCAGTGATTTATAGAGTAATGTACACTCCAAACTTTTTCGACTACGATTCTACCGAATTCCATCGATTAATGTTGCAGGAAAAACTGAACGGTTCTTATGTTCTGTAATTTGTCTAAACAAATTATATAAATGAGTATATTTAATTTCAACCACATTGACAAAAACAAAACAAAAGAAGAGATACAGGAAATCAAAGAATTGTATAAATTCTATCATTATAGATACTGGTGTTATCAAAAAGCTTATACACACTACAAAAAAGTCAATCTGGCTTCTAATATTGTATCGGCGGGTTTAGTCATTATTGGTAGCGTAGCTGGTGGCATCACAGCCAACCCCATTATTATAGGTACTGTAACAGGCGCCGGTGTATTACTCAAAACATTTTGTGAAACTAAGAACTACAAACGTAAAATAGAGATGAGTAAATATGCATATACAACATATCAGAAAATATTAGCCGATCTCAAAACTTCGCTTCGAGGTGGGCCCTTTAATAAACAGGACTTTTTAAAAGAGGTTAATATTCTTGATGATACAATTATAGATTTCTGGCCATTAGTAACAAAATTTGAAAAACAATATGGGAAAAAGTTCCTCTCCCAACCAACAGATCGATAATGCCTCCTTAAAATTATTCTATTGACGTCATCCTTAATGTGACCATAAAGTTTGTCCCACCATTCATTGTAATATTTTAGTGTATTTTTTATTTATGTATGACGAATGGATTTGTATTTTATTCCTAAGATGTCAAATAGTTGTTTAATGATATAATTTACACTAATAAGCAGTTTTCTGCCCACATCTGGGAGTTTAATACGGTCGAATAGTTGGAATATTCTTAGGATACTCTCTCTATCATAATAATCAAGTTGAATATTATTTTCTTGTGCTATATCATTAAGCGTATTGATGATATGATATTTTCTGCAGTAGATAGACTTTCTTTTTATCCTGTCTATTTTCATAAAAGTCAATATACTCGTCCGCCACTAAATAATCGTGTACTTGGCCACAATTCTTACACACAAGAAAGTTATCTTTGATCAGTCTCATAGAATCGCAGCAAAAATCTCGTTCAGGCTTACCGGGATCCTGAATCTGTTCATTTCAAAAGATACAATTAACATAATCCTCGTGGATCAATAACTCATGAACTTCTTTATTGCACATCATTACTATACTATATTTTTATCTTTTTAAATAGTTTATGGTTTTACCCCACTGAGACTGCGCAGAAGGAGGGGACACAAATTACATCCCACATTGATGAGACTATTGAATTGGAGTTGTAGATAAGGTTCATTTAAAGTAATAATAAAGTGTAACTGTAAGAATGCCAGTACACAGACGGTGACGTCATGGCACAATTACAGCCTAAACCACCTGATGACGTCACGGCACAGCTGTTCCGCTTTATACCCCCAGCAGCGTTGTGTGTGACCTATCTAATAATCAAAAAACGGAACAGCTGTTCCGCTTTATACCCCCAGCAGCGTTGTGCTCCGATGACTTATTTCCTTGGGAAAGTCCCTATTTGATAGTGGCCATATGCATAACTATGAATGCCGTCCTCGAGAATGAATCGCTTGTCATCAAAACAT